AAAAAAAAAAAAAAAAAAAAAAAAAAAAAAATTTGCCCCCCTGTCTTTCAGGGCACCTGGCACCACTCCTATCTGCAGGACTCTAAAGTCCAATTCTAAGAACAGATGGGAAGGAGGGGGCAGACAAGCATGCTTTGTTCTTTATTTTGTCAAGACAAGTAAAAGTTGCATGGTTTGGATGGCACTTGTGGTGTGCCCCCAGTTTCTAACCTCAATTATGATCATCTTCGTTTAAGCAGCATCTGGAGCAGCCTTCCCCCAGGGAGCTGCCAGCAGACCTCAGTACTGGCCACGGGCTCAAGTGCCAAGCGTAGCACCATGGGCCTTTTCCTTCTCCTTTTCCACCCTCTTGCCAAGCCAGCACTGCCTTTGAATGCCCAACTCCTGAGCTCACGTTGCTCAGACAGGACTCTTAAATTCGAATTCCGCTTCAACATCGCCGATCTGAGCACGCTGCAAAGCAGCGTCTCCCGGGAAAGCTTGTGCAAGGGCTGAGCGCAGCACCTTAGCGATGAGCCATCGCCCCACCAAGCCTCGGGGTTTGGATTACACCAGAGCCTTCCCCACTCGTGAGCACTGGAGCCGGTGTATTCTCCATCCCCTTGTGCAACAGTCCCTCACGGAGCATTACAACAGAGACCGTTCTTAACTCGCGTTACCTGTAACCAGTCAAGCAGCCTGGCTATGCTTTTTCCAACGATCTGTGTGTTGTTCACAGCATCGGTATAGAGCTGGTGGGCAAGCGAAAGCCAATCCACCACGACCACGTTGGCATCTTTCTCTTTGCCATCTCTCTCTCTTTCCTGAAGAGCAGATACCAAGCTGCCCAGCCAGGTTTCGAACATGCCACTCATCTAGAAAGAGATTCAGGTGGTAGTTTCCAGCTCACAGGACCCATATTACACAGTTAAAAGTTATTCATATATCATTTACATATTCTGCTCCAGCTGTATGCTCCTCTGCAAACCCCACTACTTCTCAGCACTGCGCTAATGGTGTAAGAAAAACAGGTTTTGAGAGACTCTGGATGTAATTAGCCACTTTGCCTTTTACAGCAGGAGGGAGAGGCATTTGTTCCATGCCACCTTATCGCTCTTCTTCTCAAGAGTTTCAGAAATTCTGATGGATTGTACAATAATTTTCCAGTCCTGCCACCACCGTTTGCAGGTAGAGTTGATAAGGGCCCTAGTGCCACACACTCGGCCACATCAAAAGCAGCATGGGAAAACTTGATAAAGTCTGCCTGCCCTCGCTTTATTGAGGAGACCACGTAGCAGAAGTCAAGACTGAGGACACACAGTTAAGATTACAGAAAGTCTAACACGTGTGTCAAGCCACGTGATTATAGTATAGTGGTCAGTTAGTTGGATTTTAGGGAAAATCTCAAGGTCCTTTTACCACGTTCATGTTATACAGACATGAAGCGACCTTGGGGAGTTGTGAATGAGTTGAGCGATTTCACGGAGTTGTTAAGTATGACCCACATCACTTTGCTGCAGAGACCTCAGGTGCAGCTACTAAGAGGCTGAGGTGCTCAAAACATGAAAAGTTGTCCCAAATACCACATATTCTAGGGACTGTCACGCACAGATCGTTTCCAGGGCGGTTTGCTCTCTTAAGTGGAGAGACCGAACACCAAGCATCGCGGAAGATCCTCCGTACTTACTGTCCAGCCGTGAATGATGAAGAAGGTCTTCGCTGTCACGTTGAACTTGCAGTCCTCCAGACACTTTTGCTGGCCGATGGTCAGCGTGCCGCCGTCCTCTTCGGTGTCCGCGGAGG